CTGCAATAAGCTGAAGTCTGTTTATCTTGGTCTGTGAAAATCATTTTGCAAGAGCCTTCATACCACGTAATTTCAAGATAAGAGCAACAGAATCTCGTGAATCTCTACACTTCTAACATCCTTGGAGGCCAGGACAGATAAATTGGAAAAGTGAAAAATAAAACAATTAGTTTTTTTGAAGTTTAATACCCTTTGACACTCAAAATTAAGTCTTTCATTCATTCATTTATTCACAAGTGATTCTGTTTTTTTTTTTTTCGTTTTCTTTCATTTTTGCCGCGTAGGCGTTATTTCAATTACGGCTCAACATGTCTTCCATGGTAATGTTTATTACTGCGAAAACTAGATACTCATGTCAACTTTGTCCAAAAGAAATAAAATAAAAAGAAGCTGAGCCGGGCGACTCAAAAGAGAAACTCTCCGAGAAATCCAAAGGAAATTGCAATTTTGCTCACCAAGTTGAGGTTTTCCAACTACCGTGTTGCTATCTTTCGGTAAACCTGAATCACCAGCTGTTTCTCGATAGCAGAGAAAGCTTATTATTACCAGGAAAAACAAAGACATTCCGTTAAATGTCCCATGCATCCTCCCTTGCTTCGATCCAAGCGTTCCTTTTTGCAAGTATCGCATCATGTATGACAAACCAAACATCACATAGATCGAGAGGGAGGAGAGAGATTGGTGCGATTATACGGGATATCGATAGCTGAAGTTCACATCCGGGTACCAGTTGGAGTTGTTAAAGATGGCGGCTTCACTTCGTATATTGGCAAAAGGGAAGTTGTCAACCATGCAGCCTGCGTTGAGGGCAATTTTTTCCAGACCGTGCCCAGCTATTCTTTCTAGAGGACTCTCTTTAACAAGTGAGTTCGTCAGTGCCCCCTTTGTATCACGTCGCGTTAGCAGAGATCAGTGATTCGCTTCAATTTTGCCGGGTGTCACAAGCTTATACGATACTCATATTTACTAGAATGCTTTAAGCTTACTTAATATCCCTGTTACTAGCCATTTATGGGAAGTTTAAGTTATAATTTTACTCGTTTTAACTTTGTGTGGGTTTAATATCCAATCTGAAGGCTTGAATATTACAAAGTCCCAGGGAGCAGTGAAGACGTGATCATTGGCATGGCGTACCAAATTAATGGCAGAGCTTTATGTTCAAACGTACAAATTGTGTACACACCACCTCCATGAAAGAACAACATTTATAACATGCTTCATGAGATCATTAGTTCAATTGTGGCATGTAGGAAACAAAATTAAGATTAAGTATCTTCAAATGACCAGTTGGACATCAATCGTGGGTTACTGTCTTCATGTGACAGTACACAAGAAATAATACAAAAGGCAAAACAACACTCTACGGCTAATCAATGACTCCTCAACAAAGGAAATACTTTGGTTATTCCCTTGTGTACCATTGTAGAATGTATGGAAAGTCAAAACTTGATTGGTTATGGAAAAAAAAAGCAAACCCAGATTGCTTGATTTGTAGTATTATTGTCATCTCTTGTGTTTAATCAGGCAGACGACCCGCAGGAGGGGATACCATTCCAACTGATGCAGAACAAGCCACTGGTCTCGAGAAGATAGAGTACGATGCCATGGCTGCTGGAATTCAAGTATGTGTTATCTTGGAGCTTTAAATTTATATTAGGGCGTCCATAAAACATCCAGTTCCCATCTGTCTGTAAGCTTGTGCACAACCACACGCTGATGAGACACAGATGGTTCTTCAAAAGAGAGAAATTGTACGGTAGTCAATGAGAATTTTTTTGGAGGCAAGACTTTCCTCTATAACTTAGTACTGTCAAACCTGTGTTAGGCGGACACCCGCAGGACCCTTGCTGATGTCCACTTAATACAGCAAGGTTGCCACTATCAGGGAAAATTAGATTTTATTCAAAGTCGGAGAAAAGTCAGAGAGTTTTGTACCAGGTCAGGGAATTTCTAAATCCCTGCTCAAAGTCAGGGAATTTCATCTTAAGGTTGCTGCAAATTATTTCATTAGATTTTTTTGTGTAGACAAGGCAATTTTGTTTTAAACATTATCTTAGCCATCCTTATTTTTGTTAATTCCTGGCCAGAATAATCATTCTGCACAGTCAGTGAAAGTTGCTTTACAGTCAGTGAAAAGTTGGGTAAAAGTCAGGATTTATTTTTTGTTCTGGTGGGTGGCAACCCTGTGTAACAGCATGTCTATTGAAAACAGGTTCCTTGAGAATTTGTGTTAAAAGGATCATATTAATATTTGTCAGTTTTGAAAGGCCTTTAAAGGGTCAAATAGCCTACTCGAGAATGGTTGATAACTCTGAAATGCCATTTTTCCATAAACAGTGTCAAGTTTAAGGTGTCTGTATCTGCTTAATAGAGGTGTCCATTGAATACAGGTATTCTTTTACAGTAAATGTAGGGGATAAAAATTGCACTTGTACTGCTGTCTGCTTAATAAAGGGTATCTGCTTAATATGGGGTCTGCTTAATACAGGTTTGACTGTATACACGTGACTGGAAAAGTTGCAGGAATAAAAATAAAGTTGTATTGACTGTTCACAAATTTTCCAAACAGCCTTGACATGTTGTTCTTATCACTGAATAAATGCTTTTTAGGATCCATTCAACATGCAGCCTCGTAGCGGGCCACCTGGTACCAAAGACAAACCTGTTGAAGTTTTGTCCATGTTTGATGAGCGCATTATTGGATGTGTTTGTAAGTACCTTCTAATTTGGTGTCATTAAGTCTTATTACAGTCAAAACTGGTTCAGCATGGGGCATTGTGAACTAATGGAGAACACATTGGACTGTGGATCAAGTGGTCTGGGTTTTAGCCCTGATGGGTGTGATTGTGTTCTGTACTTGGGGTACACTACCCGTCTCCACTGGGCAGCCTGACAGAATGCTGACCAGGGAGCAACCTGCAATAGACCAGCATCCCATCCAGAAGGAGTCTGAACACTCCCAGCCACACGCAACAAAACACACTCAAGTATTGAGATCTGTGAGTTCAGCCTAAAAGGCTTTACTCTCTGGTTAAGCATTCTTCCCTAGGGCAAAGCCATCAGTTTATTTTAGGAACTTTGACTTTGACTTCGCCAGTTCAAACTTGCATCCTCCAGTTAGATTATGACTCAACTCACATTTTGATATAGTTAAATGAAAATTTAACATAGTTTATGACCAGGAGCTAGTCTGGTCAGTAGCATTTTTTGTAGGCGTTTGATAGTGTCTTGGCCGTCTGTTAACGTTTGTTAAGTGTTTGGTGCGTTCTGTAGCATTTGCAGCAGTCATATGGTCGTGAGAGCCCTGGGGCTGACATTGTCCAGCGGTATTCTTGGTTAGTACGTGCGTTGTCGTTCCACGTGCTTGCAGTGTGTTCATTGCTCTGTTAGCGTGGCATTGTGGATTGAATTATAGTGGTTTAGTGGTTCTCGGCATTCCCACCCTACCCCCCCTCTCTTTTCAGCATTTTTTTTTTCCACTGAGCCATCTGGCTTGAGTGTGATGGGTGCCTGTAAGGGGCCCGGCGCGGGGGGCTCATGGCTTGGTTGCAGGTTGGGCAGGCCAGTCGGGCGTTCTAGCACCTTGGGGATGTGACTGCAGTTGCAGCCCCCAGGCTTCGTAGGCACCTTCCCTCCACTAGTGACTTGGGCATTAATATGTTGTCTGGATTAATGCCTTGTTTCATATGGCAGACTTGTGAGAATAATTTGTAGAATATTTAACAGCTTTCTGATAGGTCTCTATAAATATCTTACACTACTACTGTACAGAGATTCATGTAGTGTTCTGACTGGTAATCCATCAGACTAATTGAAGGTTTGAAAAGTTTTGCCTTACTGTGAAAACCAGTTGCCCTCCTACCAAAAATGTTAATAAAACCCTTGTAAAGATGGATGTTTGTTAACTTTACTTCTCTGCTTTCTTAATCCACAGGTGAACCAGATGCAACTATGATAGTGTGGAAGAAAATTTATTTGAACGAGCAAACACGATGCGATTGTGGGCATTGGTTTGTCCTAAAAAGAGGCAATCCTTTAAAAGTTGAGATTAATGACCCCGAGGACCATCATCACTAGTACTAGTACTAGAAGTTTCCTTTCTTAACTCAAAATTAACTTGATTATATTCAAGCAAGTAAAGTGTGTATTATGTGTTGTAATATGATGTTTTACAGGTTTTTGTCCTTGCATAAAAAGTGCTCAACTTCTTTCTGAGCTACAGTTATTTGACCACTAGGCAATGTGTCATTAAATGATGTTTTTGATTGCAGTTAAATAAAATTTTAAAGAATAATTTGTTGTGAAGGTGAACTAATCAACATGACACGAGCGTGGGAC